GCAATGGTCTCAAGTTGCAGTGGGGGAGGTCTAGGTTGAATATTAGGAAACACTATTTCACTGGGAGGGTGGTGAAACACTGGAATGGGTTCCCTAGGGAGGTGGTGGAATCTCCTTCCTTAGAGGTTTTTAAGGCCCGGCTTGACAAAGCCCTGGCTGGGATGATTTAGTTGGGAATTGGTCCTGCTTTGAGCAGGGGGTTGGACTAGATACCTCCTGAGGTCCCTTCCAACCCTGATATTCTATGAGTCTGATTCTATGCTCTGACCCCACGGAGACCAGCAGGGAGCAATGGAGTCAGCAAACCGGCTGCTCTCCTCCACCCTCCTGCCCTGCTTTTCCCCTCCCGCTTCCTTTGGGACAGGGTCCCAGAGACACTGTCCTGGGAAAAGGCAGTTGGGCCCTGCCTCACCGGGGAGGGTGGTGGATAAACCCCTCTGTCTCCTCAGCTGCTGCTGGCAGTAGCAGGGGCTTTCACACATAAGTGAGCCCACCAGGCCAGAGCTCTCCCCTTTCCTTTGCTGCCCTTGCTCTTTGCAGGAGCCTTTCCTGGTGCAGGCCAGCCCCTGTGCCGCCTGCTGCTCCGGGCTGCCCCCGCGCCCTGTTGTCTACCTGCCCTGCAGGGGGGTTAGCTGAAGTCTCAGGAAGTGCAGGGGAAGTTTTCCCATTTTGCCTGGCCTGGGAACTGCTGCATTAAATACTTTGTCCTGGGTTCCCCCCACCTCCTTGTCAGCATGCTCCGAACTAAGGGGAACAGCTGGAGTACGTACAGTGGCTCTGAGCAGGTAGCACACACCTGCCAAAGGTGGAATGATCAAAGGGTTTTTCCTGCTTGTTTTCATGTGGGAAATCCAGGCTGTGCCAGTGGAGACCTATTAGACAGTCACCCCTTCCTAGGCCAGGAAACCGGATTTGCTGGGACATGTTGTTTGCTCAGACAGTTGAACCCTTTGTTAAGCCCCCACCCACACTGTGCTGGTGGGAATCCCAAATCTCCAGTCAGAGTATTCCAGCCGAGTGCTGCCCAGTGGGGACCTGGGGCCCCCAGTTATTAACCAGGGCAGTCTCTCCTACAGGGGCCACCATTCAATCACCCCCACACACACCCCTCCTTGGGGGGCCCAGCAGCAGAGAGTCCAAGGATGGAATGGGTGTGAGGTTATACATCTGTTAGTCTTAAAGGTGCCACAGGACTCTGAGTGTGATATAATATCTCATTGAAAGGTGACAGGGCCAGAAAGTTAATTAACTCACAGACTGACCTGACCCATGTCTGAACTCATTAGGAAGATCTGTAAATAATTAGAGCTTTGAAATGCAGCCGGCATTGTTAGAGGTAGAAGGGTAGATGTTTGCTCAGGGCTTGTGATGTAAGCAAACAAGTCTTGTCTATTGCTATAGCTTTGATTCAAAGATCAAAAAAGGAATATTACTATTTATGAAGACACTTGAGGGAACAGTATTATTGTCTCTTTGAAGGTTGTGGTAACCTGTATCTGAATTGTTTAATGGATAAATGACCCTGTGC